ACCAACATTAGTCTAGAAATCATGTAATTAAACCTATGTAAGTTTAATTCACTTTAAACAATTCTTTGAAGAAAAATTATAACTGGGTCTGTGTCCTTAGTTAATATTTTCTAGGATGCTTGCATTTAAAACGAGAAGCTAGAAGATGTGAATCATATGTTCTTGGCAACTGGCCTACTGAAACTTCCAGTTTAAGAAAAAACAGTACAAATTTAGTTCAGTTTCTTACCTCTAAAACTTTAGTTAAATTCTAATTTTGAACAAGGATGTTTTTCCTATGACAGATGTTTGCTGTATGAAACATGAAGAGGGAGAAAAAGTGTGCCTGTTTTCCTTCTTTCTGTATGCCTTCAGGGTTTATTTTCATTTTTGACTTTTTATAAATAGAAAACTTGCCAAAGAGACTAAACACACATTGATTTCTGTGTGGATGTTTTCATCTACATATTGTTTACAGACATACATATTTATCCTCTTACTCTTTATATAACTCTTTTCTCACCCTGGAATTTACATTTGCTCATTGTATGACCTTAAAACAATTTCTAAAAGCAAGAGAGGGTTTTAATTACTGAACACAGTAGAATATTTTTGAAGTGCTGTACCTGGTGAATTAATAGATGTAATTCTTGTTACCATACTGAAGATCTGCTCTTAACTTCCATGTTAAAACTGTTATAGTTCACTTCAGAGGCTTTTCTCCACTTTTACAATTAAAGAGCTCTGCCACTCCCTAAGCTTTTTTAAACAAAATTCCCTTTTTGGCTTAAATTGAGTTTTATATTTAGAGAAATGATGAAACTGCAAGATCTAGAATTTGGGCTAGAATGATTCATGGTATCCCTGCTCATTAATTCTCTCCTGTTACCTCATTTGGGCTGAAACTTGCCTATGTACTACACGAGGCTCTGCAGAGAGCCTCAATATCCAGTTGGCACTGCTGAACAGATTTCTATACTGGCTATGTATACAATGTTATGAAAGGGAAGGAATTTTGATTTCCACGTTACTGAGTCGCTCCCCAAAATGTGCTGGTGTACATAGTACTAGTGCTGTTAAAAAGAACTGCCACTATTTCTTTATAATGAGAAAAGCATAACCTGCACGCACATATTTTACCATGGCTTTTCTTGAAACTTTCCAGGAAAATTCATCATTAGTTGAAATCTGGAAAAATCTGAGGACTCTGAAAAGTATCAAAATTAAAGCATTCGAAGTTAAAAAATGAGAAAATCTTTGTGTTCCAGCTATATATATGTTTAAGGAAATGTACTATTTACATAACAGGAAGTTTATTCCAGGAAAAATTAGACAATATGTTTATAAGGCATACTGGAATGCCTTTTAAGGAAACTGTAGTAGGTAATTGCAGAAAAGATACTTTTAGTCAGACTTTTTATCTATCCAGTGTGGTTCATCTGTAACCCTTTCTAGTCATGCATACTGAAAGATCATGTATGCTGGCTGCAGAACAGGCCAATCTACTCTGGAAATAGGTTGGTTTATTACCAGGGATCTGGGTTTTTTGTTTCCCACAAAAAAATGGAAGACACCCACAGATTTTTCCTTTTAACAGAGAAAAAAGCAGATTTTTCATTTTAATGGAATTACCTGTAGATTTTACACTTTTGCAAAGAGCTTTCTGCAGGCTCGCAGAGTTCTAGCCTGCAAGAGCTTCTTGCAAATAGGGTGGCAAACCCTAGGTCCTGTCCCGATGGGGAGGGAAAGGGGGAAGGGGTAGGCCTGAGACTGTCAGCCAGGGCTTGGTTCAGGCTCCCTTTCCCTCCTGGAGCCTTTGAGGTAAGTTGTGCTTGCTGGGGCCCTCCACTGCCAGGGCTGCAGAGGGTGGGGGGCTGCAGGTCAGGAATGGGGTGGGGGGCTGCAGGTCAGGAATGGGGGGCACTGGCAGGGCTGGGGGCTCTACCTGCTGTGGCCATGAGTGCCCTGGGGGCCTGCTGCTGCCTCCTGCTGCTGAGCTGCTGGTCAAACCCCACACCCACCCACAAACCCCACATACTTCCATACCCACACCCCTCGCACCCCTTCACAATCTGCTTGGAAACCCTCCACACCAGGCGAGGGCAAAATGTGGCCCGGGGGCCAGGTGCAGCCCTCCAGGCCAGTCTATCTGGCCCATAGGGCCCCTAAAAATTTAGAAAATTAATATTAATCTGCCCTGGACTGCCTGTCATGCAGCCCTCGATGGCTTGCCAAAACTCAGTAAGCAGCCCTCTGCCCAAAATAATTGCCCGCTCCTGCCCCACACACCCCCACACCTTCACAAATTCCACCTCATGCACCCATCCCACCCCCACCCCTCAACCAGAGTACCTGCATATATTTCTAATGAAGGTTCAAATAGTGTTATATTTAGTTTAAGTTGTAAAATAATAATATTAATTTTGTATAATTTTGAATTTTTCTGTGCATAATTCCCTGGGATATACAGAGTGGTTTGAGCAGGAGGTTTGATTTTCCATTATGAAAAACCCCAAATCAAATGCCAAATGTCTAGGTATTTAGAATTTCTTTTATTATAGTGATTGAGACAATGGTAGGCTTTCAAATTGCTTTAAAGCTATCAATATATCAATAAAACATTGTGTTCAACTGATACCTATATTTATATTAGTGGCCTTTTATTTTAATCATCAATTTTGGGGGTTTAATCAGAGAATTTGTGATTTTAATCAGAGAAAACCAGGATCCCAAATGTCCAAAAAACCCCAAACTAGTTAGTATTCTTAGTAGCTGTGGATCTATATTTGGGAGGAAAAATTACAGAGAAAAGTATCATGATAGGTCCTCACCCACATTCCATGACATTTAACAAGGATTGCTAACAAGGAAGGTGCCTCTGTAAAAACAAGGCTTTTGGGGTAAATCTGATATCTTTTATTAGAGCAACTCAGATAGTTGGAAAAAATTCTTTGCAAGCTTTTAGGCATAAACATCCTTTTGGGCACAAACACCCAAAATCAAATGGCAAAATATATAAGTATTTAAAATGTCACTGACTGAATTTCTTGCATGCATACCAGCCCCGGTTTCTTTACTATTCATTCTATATAGGAAAAGCACAGAGCAACTGCAGGTGCTTCCTCAGCCTGACAAAGGGTGTTTGTGTCCGAAAGCTTGCAAAGTAGATTTTTTTCCAACTATTTGAATTGCTTTAATAAAAGATACCAGTTTTACCCAAAGAACCTTGTCTGCCTATGTCCTTAGGCATAGGCAGAGGAAGAACATTTAGGGGGAGAGGGGGGACTGAGCATGCATGTGTGCATGCACGCACATATGGCCCCCACATGGGAAAGTCTGAGGGGGGAGGGGAAAGGGCCAAGGGGGAGTGGCATTGCCCGGTGCCGTGCCACGCCTCACTTCCCTGCCCCTGGCCACCTCCTGGCCCTGACCACACCAGCCCTGGATGCTGCGCTGGCTGTGGCTGCCTCCTGGCTCTGGGTGCACCAGTCACGGCTGCCTTTCAGCTGCACTAGCGCTGGCCATGCTGGCTTTGGCTGCTTCCCAGCTGCCCTGGCCCCAGCCCCGGCTGCCTCCCGGCCCTGGCTGTCTCCCCATCCTGGCTCTGGCTGCCTCCTGGCCCTGGCTGTGCACTGGCTGGGGGGACCCAGAGCTGGGGGCTGGAGCAGGGCCAGTCTCACCTGTACTGCTGGGCTGGAGTGGATGGAGCCCCCAGGACCCCTGTGACCATCTTGCTGTGCCCTGCGTTGTCCCCACAAGAGCCCAGTGGCTCCTCCAGAGGTGCGGCACCGGGCAGCCAAGGGGGGGGGGGGGGCATGCGGCCCCTCGATCTTTGCACGTGCAAGGGTAGGCCACAGGTATGGCCTGGGCTCAGCCTCTGCTCGGTGTCTCTGCACCTCACTGCCACCGTTTCGAAAGCAGCGGGTGCTGCCATGTGTCCCACTGCTTGGTGGGCTGGGCAGCGAGGCACACGGCAGCGCCCACTGCTTTGAAAGCAGTGGCAACGAGGCACAGAGACATGGAGCAGAGGCTGAGCCCAGGTCGCAGCTGTGACCTGCCCTTGCCCATGCCAAGATCGGGGCCATGTGCCCTCCCCCCTTGGCTGCCTGGCACCACCTCTCTGGAGGAGGTGCCAGGCTCTGATTGTCCCACAGCCTGGCTGGGCCGGGGCCCCATTCATGGTGCCAAGATAGGGGTGCCACATGCTTTCCCCCCTTGGCGCCACACCTCTGTAGGAGTCGCTGGGCTCTGATTGTCCCACGGCCCGCCACTGGCCGGGCCAGGTCATGGGACAATCCCATGGTACAGTAAGGAGTGGGTCGGGGCAGGGGTGAATGATTTGCCCTTCCCCTACCGCACTCTCTCCTGTACTGTGGGGTTCTTGATCTGCCCTCCCCCAAACCGATGGAAATAAGAAAGACAGATTAAAAGAAATTTACCTGTCTGCGGCTGGGTTGGCTGCGATCCTGGCTGTGTGTGTGCAGGGTAGCTCAGCATGCCCGCCCTTCCTCCCCCCGCTGCAGGACCCTGCGGCCAGGCTTCCCTAATGCAATGCCTACTGCTGCCTGGTGTTTGTGGGGGCTGAACCCCTTTAGCCCCTCCTTTTGCCGCCTATGTCCTTAGGCCAACACGTCTACAACCTATACCTCTGTAAAAACAAGTAATCCAATTGGCTGCATATCTGACTCAGCCTACAGAGATGTTTTTGAGGGTGCAGCTGATGAGATTATTTTTGGCTACAGTGAGCCAATAGTTGCAAACTTTCCAAAGACTCTGATTAAAATCTTAGCTGAATATATCTGGTACAACATTATCTGAAAAGAGGATTTTTCATAGAGCTGTGCATATTCAAAGGTGTAGCACTGTGTTTGCACTGAAATCTTATTTCTTTGTGAACTAATTGACAAGTTTAGGAAAATGTCTGAGAATACAAGACAAATGTTTATGGAACAAGCTCTCTTTTCATGTTTGCAAGGTACTGCCTATGAGGGTGTAACACTGAATTACTGTTTTCTTTTCAGCTGCCTTTGAACAGTGCTTCTGGAGATTATGTATTACTGGTGGAAGGGCATGCTGAGGGCCGTCACATATTCTCTAACAGGACCAAATTGTTATTTGAGTCCAAGAGTATTTCTGTCTTCATCCAGACCGACAAGTCTTTCTATAAACCAGGGCAAGAAGTGAAGTTTCGGATCGTGACTGTCTATCCTGATCTCAAACCCTACAGAGCTTTATTAAGCATATACATCCGGGTGAGTGTACTGGGAATCTAGCAGTAAGCTGGAATCAGTGTTTAAAGTCTGAACATATGGTAAAGTATAGTCATCTGATTTTCGTGCTAAGTCATACTCTTGCAGCACTCATATACAACATGGGCTTTATTTTAGGACCCTCGAGGGAATTTGATTCAGCAGTGGTTGGCAGAGAAAGGTGATTTGGGTGTGGTTTCCAAAAACTTTCAATTATCAACAAGCCCCCCACTTGGAGATTGGTCTATTCAAGTGCAAAAAAATGTGAGTATTTATCCTGTTGAACTGTGTGGAATGTTTGTTCTTCCTGCTAGACCTTGATGTTGTCTATAGTTTTGATTAAGAACTAAGTTTTCTAGGGTAAAGTGATTAAAAACAAGTACAGTCCCTGATCCTGGAGTAAGGTTTCTTTCAGGTAGTCCCCCTTTCATGCACAAGAAGCCTTGAATCATTGGGGCTGTGTCTGTCCAGAGCTCTCTACAGGACCAAGAACATCAGGTGGAAAAAGGACCTACAACAATGCTAGAGAAAGGTTTTGATAATATGTGGTTTTGTAACCAGCTGAAGTTCAGGGTCTTCAAAATTAAAGTGAGTATTTGTGCTCAGCTTTGAGTTTTTTAATTTTCACAGTTGATGTTATGACTCAAATGCTATTTAAATTGAGTTTTCTAAAGATTAGTTTGTGAAAGAAGGCTCTCATGAAAGATTAGAACAAAAACTACCTGCTTTCAAGTAAAACATTTAGATTTATAAATGGCAGGTAAGCACATGAAAAGTCTACCAGGTGTGTAGCCAACTATACTTCCAAAAGGTCACAGAATCAAAGACTGCAACTGTAATTTAGAAAGGCTGGATAGTTTTATTACAGTAGAAGTTCAGTAGTTCACACAAATCAGTGGGAGAATCATTAAGAATGAATAAATTATTGATTTGCTTACTGCTTTGCATAATAAAAATGTATTGCGTTACTAAATGTTTTGTTTAGTTCATAAGTTGCACTTTACTTTAATAGAAAGAAAATAAACCAAAAAGTGGGAAAAATTATTTAAAAGTGTAATGGAAAAAAGAAGGCTTAGACTAAACTGGGAGTTCCAGGAGAATGTAGGAAAGCACAAAAGATGAAGTCAGCTCTTCACTGATTATGTGCACTGGTAATCTAATTTGCAGCAACTCAACACATTTTCTAGGATACAAAGAAGTCTTAAAGCACAGCATTCCCTTAAATCAGAATTTAAAAAATATAGTTTGAAGACAGCATAATGTTTGAAGGGCTTAGTGTGACAACAGATAGCTTAGCAATAGGAAAAACAGATGGTAAAACAGAACACTAAAGAAAATAATACAAATTATTAAACGTGTAAACGCCCTGTCCCGAAGGTATGAGCACAAAAAGTAGAATGTGATAGTGAAGGTGCTACAGAGGTGTTCTCTAACAGGTGCTCCCCAGCTCTCTGTTTTTGACTTGCCTGAGAGCAGATATACCGGGCACACCTACTGGAGTGACTTTGGGGTTGGTGCATGAATAAGAGTGCAGGGAGGCAGGGTGGGTTCAAGTGTGGCCCTCCTCAAAAGCACTTGGGAAATCTAAACATGCTTTTCATAGTCCCATTGACTGTCAGTGGGACATAGCCTCCTTGGACTTCAGACCAGCAATTCTCAACAAGGGTGCTCTGAGATCCTTAGAAAGGGTGCTGCAGAAAACATGAGGAAATAAGGGAGCAGTGGTAGATTAAGATTTACTGGGGCCCTGGGCAAACAGAAAATTGGAGGTGCCCCATGCCCCATTAGAAACATGAATGTAGCAAAAAGCATTAATAACTAGACCCATTAAATGCTTACATGGTCCATTAATAAATAAAGCACAACATGCGATGTTGAAATTAACTACTCAATTTTTCCACGCACAGAACTGAATAAAACAATTGCCCTAGGAAAATGACTCAGATGCATGGGATTGCCATAAATGTATACTAACATGAAAGGAATGATGTTTTAGTTCAGTGGTCATGCAGACTCTTGTTTAATTTTTTTTAAATACACATTTTACATTGTACCTACACTTTGGTAAACTACTATAAGAAAAATACAGGCCATACCTATAGCCTTGAGTCTGAGAATACCATTAGTGATTCTTGCAATTAAAATAAAGCAGTAGGCCTACACAAAATATCTCAATATTTTTTAATCATTCCTGAAACATTAAACATGTGCTAAACTCATATACGGTAAATCTCTCTCTTTTATTTACCCATTACACCTGTGTTTTAATGCTACCAGCACATAATTATGTAACCAAAATGTATAGATATATTGATATATACATACATGCACCCACACACAATCTCTTTCTCTCTCCCTCGTCTCTCTCCCTTAATTCTCTCTCTCTCTATATATATACACACACATCTATCTCTCTCTATGTAGATATCTATATAGATACACACATATACACACACACCCCCTCCCTATACACAATCTTTCTCTATATATATAATGTATCTCTCTAGACAGACAGACAGATCTATATCTAACCACCCTCTGGAAAGCTCACAAGTCCCCACATGAGCTGCCATCACCTGGGAGAGCTGCAGACCCCTCTCTATCAGCAGCCTTATTTCCTAGAATCATAGAAGTAGGGTTGGAAGGGACCTTGTAGATCTTCAAGTCCGACCCCCTGCCTGGGCAGGAAGAAAACTGGGCTCAAATGACCCCAGCCAGGTAGGCATCAAGCCGCTTCTTAAATTTGGGGTCCAGAATTGCAGAAAGCATCCAGAGGATAGCAGGACTCCCCTTCTCTGTGCCCCAAACCGTGCTTTGGCAGCAGGGCTAAAGCATGACATGCTGACCCACAAGGGGATCTGGTGTGGTCTGCGCCCGCCCCCACTTCCCCCTCACCAACACACTGTCTGCATCCACCATGAACTGCATGTACCCACCAGGCAGGCTCTAGTGCGTTTGGATTCCCAGTTCCCCACCCAAGCTAACTGTGAGGGAGCTCTGTATGATTTCACTGAGCAGATGGCTTTAGCTCCAGCATAGCTAGGGGGGCTCTGTGCGCACCAGGTACATCCTGAGCCACCTGCCTGTCCTGTGACCTGATACTTGAGAGGGAGGGAGGGTAGTACTAGGCACCTTCCAGTCACAGGGACAGGAGAGAGAGAGGCCAGCTGGGCAGCAAGTGGCAGGGGCAGTAGGGATCCTCATTGCCACATCACCCTAGCCGTCCTGACGGAGTGGTCATACAAGTTCCCAGCTGCTGCCTCCCACCAGCTCTCATGCGTTTAACACATGATCGAGTTTCATTGCTTAACAGGACTTTCCCCTGCAAGCTGGGGAGCACGGCAGGCCCCTGCTCCAGCACCTGCCCCCCAGGGGGGGCCATGATTGGCAGAGGCCCCTGAGCCCGGGCCGCATAGGCCTGTGTATTAATCCACTTGTGTAAGGGAGGTGTGAGGAGATAAGCACATAAGGGCAGGCTTAAGCTTTCCCTGCTTGGCATCTGGTCTGTCCCCACTGCCTAGCCCCTCTTAAGCACTGTATTAAATACATTCGTTTTTGAAATGGCATGCTGCTGAATTCACAGAAGTTATGGAGAGGTGCTTTGAGTTTGAAAATGTTGAGAATCACTGTTTTAGACCGTCTTACTTATCCCTGTGAATGCAGACTCATAAAATCTAGCTCTGACAGAATCCTTTTGAGCTGTTTAGTTTAGGAGTTCCAAAAGGTTTTTATAGCTTGGGGCACATTTAAGCACGTAGGCTGTCTTCTTACAGACCATCAGGAAGTCTTTCGCAGGATATTAGACACAAATGAATATTTTTGGAGAGCCTTTGACATATTTTAGCCCCTGTCTTGTTCCCCATATACATAGAAGACCAAAAAAACTTGAGACATCCACAACCTCCCTTGCACCTTGTTTGCACAGTCTAATATGTCTCACTGCTTAGGAAAAATACCTAAGCATTTTTCATAAAATAATTTGGTTAAATATTCTATTTATTCCATGAACATCAGTTTTAGTAAAATATCCTTGTGCCCCTCTGTTTCTTCCATTCTTCCAAATACAGGCAACCCCTGTAAGCATTTATACACATACATTTTTGTGCAGGGGCGCACTGGATATCCGGCGCATTGGAGCAGACTTGATTAATCGAGTCTGCTCCATATGCAAGCTGACACACACTGTGCTGCGTCACATGCAGTTGTATAAGCAGTAAAATGCACATCAGCGCACAGAAAATGGTGGTGGTGTGCTTTTGAACCTTGGGTTGTCTTTCTGTCTCTAAACCTTCTCTGCTGTCTGCTGCTGACTACTGAGAACCATTTGAGGTGCACTGCCAGAGGCCAACTTCTTGACCTATGATCCCTCAACCCTACCTGTCTTGCTTGGGCCTCACCAGCCCGTCGCAAAGGGGATTTTGCCCTCTAGAAGGATCACACCCTTGCCTGGTCATGCGCTGAGAAAAGATGGATCTCCCTTTCTATGGAATGGGGCAAGTCTGAATGGTCAAAATACCGTGAGATCATAAGAATTTGTGACATTAAGTGGGTTATAAAAAGATAACAGAAAGATTTATTAGAGAAAACAAGAACAAGCATAAGGAGTCAGTAACTATATGTTGAGATAGACGGAGGTCTAACACTAAACAAACAAAAGAAAACAACAGAAGAACGTTAACCTGTTCTTACTCTAGACCTCAAATCCAAAGTTACAGTCCTTAGCCAGATTTACTAGGTTAGACTGAAGACCCTGCCTCTGACCCTTCAGATCCTTCTGCATCCTCCTGTCAGATTCTTTGCTTAGTTTGCTTTTCTTAGACCAGGGATGCTCAACCTCTGGCCCATGGAACCATCACATCTAGCCTGTGGGGCTCCCTATGGGGTGAGAAATTTGGCAGTAGGGGAGCGGTGAGTATTACAATAATCACCACCCCCCTGCCAAATTCCCAGACCCCAAGTCCCACACTGCCAGTTGCGGCCAGGCCACACTCCTGCCCCCAGGGGTTTGGTTTGGAGACAGGCCATGCCCCCTTCACCCCTGGGGCCAAGCCATACCCCCTTTCCCCATGGAGCCAGGCCATGCCTCATTTCCCCAGGGGTTCTGTTTGGGGTTGTTTACTGCATTGTAGACCTGGCTCTTGGTGTCTTTTTGGAGATCCTGAGGAATAAAAACATGCCGAAGCAATTTCTGAAAGGAAGCACTTGCACATCGGATCCTGTGGTGGGTCTCCTCATCAACGTTCGCTCTCTCAGAGAGGTGTCTACTGAGAAGAAATGCTTGACTACCTCCTAGGGTGTTTCCTTTGATGGTAACTTTGAGACGGGGGTCACATTCATGACCATTACCTCTTCTAAGTGTGAACAGTTCAGGGCTGCTTAAGTTAATCACTGGTTTACTGACACATCCTTGGCTGTAATATAAAGATACATCAAAATTAAATTTCTGTCAAATACTATAACACAGCAGTACTCAACCCCCATATCTGATTCATAGAGCCCTGGCAACTCCCAGCCAATGAAGTTCCCCACAAGTCAGGAAATTTGGTACTAGGGGAGCAGTGGCAATTAATACCGCCAGCCCACCTCCACCACCAAATTCCCAAGTCCTGTGCTTCCAGATCAGGGCCAGACCAAGTGTCCCTTCCACCTGCTCCTCATACAGCCAGTTTGGGGCTAGGCTATGCCTCCTTCCCCCATGTGGTTGGGTCAGAGCCAGGCCACACTTCATCCCCGTGTGGCTAGATCAGGGCCAGGTTAGGCCCACTGGCTGAAGCTGGCCCATGGAGGGACTGGGCACCTTCTGTCTGGCCCGTGAGGCAAAAAAGTTGAGCACCACTGCTGTGATGCATACATATAGGAGAACAATATGACTGAACACAGCTTTGTACTAGCTACAACTAGAGATAAAATCTAATTTGGGAGAATATCCATGTATGCCATAAGGTGAACCCCTAGAAGTATCTTTGTCTCGGGGTGGATCCGTGATGGTCATGTATATACAACTGTGCCTTTTGGGGAGATCACAGAATGCACATTATGTAAAATATTTTTTTCTTATTCACATTATATTTAATAGTTTATTTTGCTGCATTTCAATTGTTATAGATGGGCACTGGTATTGCTTCAAGATTTACTAGAGCAGGGGTATCAAATGCATTGGACTCCATGGACCAGATGAGGTGTGCGGGCCCAGTCCACAGGCTAAATCAGGCCCATAGACTGGCCTCATGGGCTGGATCCAACATGCAGGGCTGGTCCAGTGCAGGTGTCTCATGCAGTGTGCAGCTGGGACCACACTTGGCTTTGCACATCGCATGCAGTGCACACTCAGGACTGGTCCTGTTCACTGTGTGCAGTGTGTGGTGATGGGGCTGTTGCATGTTGCAGTCCAGTCTGGTTCAGTCAAAAACAACAGGCAGCACCACTGGCCAGATGATAGTCTGTGGGTTAGATGAGACCTGTGTGCTGTATCTTTGACACCCCTTTACTTGAGTGATATACTGTTGAAATCAATAGGAGGCTGCATGTTCTACAAGTCCGTGCCAGGAGATTCCAATGCATAGTTCAGTATAGTATTGGAACTGTTATACAATAGCTTATGTAAGAAAATATTTATTTTATGCTGCTCTTCAAAATAATATGATTCATTCAAAAGAATCGCCCAATGTTTCTTTGAATTAATTTAGTCTACATAGGGTCTGCTTACAGTCAGTTGCAATGCAGTATAAGTTCAGGAATTTAAAAATGTTGCCCACTAGATACCAGTATAACCAGGAACACCCCCCGCCCCCCATAGATAACAAGGATAGAGCATGCAGCAACAGTGAAACCTATGTGCTTTTAGCATTTCTGCAGAAAAGTTCCTTTATGTTCTTTTGCAGCAGTGCAAGGCTTTTGCAGCTTTCAGCAATGCAAGATTGTTTTGCAGCAATGCAAGATTATTTCTCTTTGACCAAAAGGCACAGTGTTGTTTCCGTGCCTATAGAGACTTAGAAAGGCTTCTATTAAGACAATATTTACTAGCAGTCAGCACAGCAGTTTCTGAGCTGCCCAGAATAGCAATATTACTTCAATTTTCATAGTTTCATAGTTGGTAGGATCGGAAGGGACCTGAGCAGATCATCAAGTCCGACCCCCTGCAATGGCAGGAAAAAGTACTGGGGTCAAATGACCCCAGCGAGGTGTTCGTCTAACCTCATCTTAAAGGCCCCCAGGGTAGGAGCCAGCACCACTTCGCTTGAAGTTGGTTCCAGATCCTAGCCGCCGTGACAGTGAAGTAGCGCCTCCTGATGTCTAGTCTGAATCTACCCTCTGCCAGCTTGCGACCGTTATTTCTAGCACTGAGCTAGAAATAGCACTCCTGGTAGTGCTCAGGGGAACAGGGATTCCCCCAATACCTGCTGGTCCCCCCTGACTAGTTTGTAACAGGCCACTAGATCACCCCTCAACCTTCTCTTGTGGAGGCTGAATAGGTTCAGGTCCCTTAGCCTCTCCTTGTAGGGCCTGCCCTGCTGTCCCCTGATCATGCGGGTGGCCCTCCTCTGAACCCTCTCAATGCTCAATTTTGACCTTTGTTATATGGTAAATTTTAAATGGCAACTCGTGCACCCAAAAGAACACAATAATATTTTTTCTTTCATAGATAGATTCTGGCATTTCTGCAGGGTTCCAACTTCTATCTCACCAGCACTCCACTTGACGCCAGCTGCCAACTAGACGTCGAGCCATTTATTACTACCCTTTGAGCCTGATGATCCAGCCAGCTTTCTGTTCACTTTATAGTCCATTCATCCAACCCGTACTTCTTTAGCTTGTTTTCAAGAATGGGTTGGGAGACCATATCAAAAGCCTTGCTAAAGTCAAGGTATATCATGTCCACTGCTCTCCCCACATCCACAGAGCCAGTCATCTCATCCTAGAAGGCAATCAGGTTGGTCAGGCGTGACTTGCCCTTGTTGTATCCATGCCTGCTTTCTTTTCCAAGTGCTTAGAAATGGATTCCTTTAAGACCTGCTCCATGATTTTTCTAGGGATTAAGTTGAGGCTGACCAGTTTGTATTTTCCTGGATCCTCCTTCTTCCGTTTCTTAAAGATGGGCACATTATTTACCCTTTTTGAATCATCCAGAACCTCTCCCAATCACCATGAGTTTTCATTGCGTCCAATCCCATAGATTTGTGCACATCCATCTTTTCTAAATAGTCCCTAACCTGTTTTATTGCTCCTGTTGTCTGCTCATCTCCTCCTCAAACTGTACTGCCAGGTACAGTAGTCTGGGGGCTGACCTTGCCTGTGAAGACTGAGGTGAAAAAGACATTGAGTACTTCAGCCTTTTCCACATCTGTCAGTAGGTTGCCTCCCCCATTCTGTAAGTGACCCACACTTTCTCTGATCTTCCTCTTGTTGGTGACATACTTGTAGAAACTCTACTTGTTACCCTTGCTAGCTGCAACTCCAATTCTGGTTTGACCTTCCTGATTTCATCCTTGCATGCCCGAGCAATACTCTTATTCTCCTTCCCAGTTGTTTGTTGAACTTCCCATTTCCTGTAAGCTTCCTTTTTGTGTTGTAGCTCACTGAAGAGTTCCTTGCTCCCACCTTTCTGATTTTGGGTGAGCTAGTACCACCTGCACCAGTCGGCACTAATTTCTTAAGGCCATCTTTAGCCAGATCACTCTTTGCTAACACTGCAAGTCCTTTATAGGCAGAGAATAATGGAATAGAATTTAATTTTAAATTGTATGGCCCAGGTGGATTGGCTTGTATGTTTTCCATCAAAACACAGTGAGTTACACAGTGTGAAGCAGTCCTGGAAAGTGATAATGCTAAAAGAAAACTAGGGGTGGCAGTGGGTTACAGCTTAGAGGGATTTACAGAGACCTAAATCATCACAATTGTGTGGCTAAATGTGCAAAAAGATTACTTCTTATTGGACAAAATAAGGAGGTAGCTGAAGAAATTAAAAAACTGGAAAAAATGGAGGAAGAAGCCTTGATCAATTTTATACTTTGTATAGAGCTTATTTCTTACCTCCAACTTTTAAACCAATCAGCAAAAGAGTCAGAGCCAATGTCAACACTGATGTAACTTCACCAAAAACCCTGCAGCTGTGCAGTGTACACAGGGCTAAAAAAATCAGATTTTTTTTGAATTTTTGAATAATTTTTAAGCCTAGTTGTGGAATGCTTTGTCTGATTCTTATCCTATATTACAAGCTCTTTGAAGCTGGGATAATTTCTTTACTGTTTATATTTACAGTGTGTAGCACCTTGGAGCACTGGACCCTTAATAGATGGACTCATGGGCTAGGTACAGACATTCAGAAGGTGGAGGTGGAATCTATCTAAGTTCCTTGATTTTCTGTAACCAGCATAGTTTAGATCAGTAGTGAACAGAACACACATTTGCCCTTTGGTGAGGGACAAATCTTAGATTGTGTTTCACTGTTTTAAAGCCAGTCTGTGTTCACCACACTTCTGTTCTGTTATAGGTATATACTGGTTTTGTGTGCCGAATTTATGTTCTGTTATGGCGTATAGACCGGTTTCTGATTACTTATACTTACTTACTTACTTATACCAGTAAAAGTGTAATGTTTGTACCTGGCCATGGTGAAACTGCAATTCAGTAAATAATAGTTGTCTTCATAGGCATTATAATCCAATATTGGTAGTTGGTTATCTCAGTATTTAAAGTGACACATTTTCAACAAATATAACTTAATGGGTTGCCCAAACTCTAGAATCGGTTTTCTTGAATGAATGTGCGACTAGGCCCAGAGCAGATGTACTGAACCAAATAATCTAACCACAATTTACATACCTTCTTGTATTTGTTTTTTGTAGGGTCAAATTTATCATCAAAGATTTACTGTGGTAGAATATGGTAAGTGTTGACTGTGTGTTTTTAGATGCAGAAAATAATCTTATTTGTGGCAGTAGGAAGGTTAAATGTTGAGAGGATATTGAGACTCAGCTATTACAGTGATGGGTATCTTTTTTAAAGTGTGCATAATAATACCTTGTAGATTTAAAGTGACTTCAGTGAAGAAGACCCTTTTATGTAATTTATGGCTACACAAAAAAGATGATTTTATGTAAATTAAGAGAAACTACTTGAAGTTAATAGAGTTGTATTTGTGTAAATGGGTATGAGAGACAACAGAAGCAGGCCATTGCCAGCATGAGATTTGGAAGATAGAAGGCTATTTAGGAAACTCATTTTGTAAATTTTGTTTTGTTTATTTTTAAATATGTGATATTGAGGATTATTGCAGGAGACAGGAAGGATTTGGGTTTGCTTGTTCATAACCAGTAGCTACTATGGGGCATGGATTGTATGGGATGTTTCCTGATCATCTGGATGGATGATTCCCACTTTCCACTGTGGAGAAAGGCAGAAACTCCAAATATGCCTGCTCGTATGCTCCAAGGGAACACTCAATTCTGAATGATCACCTTTGTGAACTGAACACAAGTGAATTAAACTATATCACCTCTATGGTCTTTTACATTCACTGATAGCAATGTGGAATCACTAGGTTTACTGATTTCTTCTCTCTTGGTGTGACTTGAGGAAAAAAAGCAGTGATACGTTGGGTCCCAGTCTGCACAGACAGACCTCTGTACCCTCTTGGAAATCCATTTAAATCATAGGTCTGAGCCTTTAATTCATACCAGTTTTAGTTCAAAAGATTTATCTTTAGGAAGCCATAGAAATATACTCTGTATTATACAGAAATATTTGTCAGTGATACTTTCTCTCCTGAGTTTGAATTTAATGCTTTCCTCTTAATATTATTTAAATTTTACATTTGAATTTTTTTTAGTGTTGCCAAAATTTGAAGTTATTCTAAAAACATCATTATATTCTTCAAAAGGAACTGATTTAGCGGGTACTGTCACTGCAAAGTAAGTAAATCATAAATATACATGTTTCTCTCACAATTGGTATGTGTCTTAATAAATCATAAAGTAGATATTGTAAATCAAAATGTGAACATAAAAATATCAAGTCATTGTTTCCTCCCAATGCCAGTTTAGCTATTGAGCACAGTGTGTGTTTCATGTGGTTGATGGTACATGACTAAAGACATTTAATATTTGCTTTTATAAAATGACAGACTTTTTAACCTAAGATGGCATGGAACAGTTTATATTCAATAATATTCTTATTGAGCTGTATCTTAATTTAAACATTTTATATTGCATTTCTTAAAAAATGAAGCTATTATTGATCAGGGAGGAACATTAATTAATTAATTAATTTTGCCTGATTCAATCCTTTGTCATCATTTTTTATACAAGTTTGTTAATTTGAAACAAATACTATTTTGAAAGGAAAAGTCAAGTTGTTTTATTTCAAAAGCATCAACCTAAAATGTTCCAACTTTTATGCAATATTCCATATCCCCTTTTCTCATACTATTTACCAAACTCAACCAGAATTTGGGAATAGTTTAGGCACTCCTGAAGGTGAATTTTAGCACATTTAATTTTTGGCAAAATTTTTTGCCCAGGTCCACTTTGTTGTTACTAATCTGTGGAAGTATGACAGATTTTAGAGTGAAATGTGTTCATGTTACAGTAATGTTGCATACCTCGGTTTGCCTGACTAGCTTGTATGTAGGACTCCTCCTGATGTACACGGGGCTACGAGATAGCTGCCACTGCAGCTGGCAGAGCTATCCTGGCCCAGTGTACATTGGGATCAGCCCCTGTGGTCCCTGTCAACCCCTGGGCTAGTACCTCTGGGGAGCCTGCAGCAGGCCAGAGCAGGGTAGGAACTGCTCTGTATTGGGCTGCTCCCAAGAGAGAACACATGTAGACATGTTTCCAGTGTAGTTTAATCTACTTAATCTGTTTACATTATACAGGTACTTGGCATAGATAAGCATTATTTTATAATAGGTCTTCCATGTGGTTGGGTGGGGGGAAAGGACAGCATTTTCCAATTCTGTGTTCACTTCCTTGCCATGATTAACAAATTCATGCTCTTACTGAGAATAAATCGATTGCAGCTTAAAAAGTCACCTCTTTTCAAAGCGCGTGTTCTAGATGTTTATGTAATTTAAGGGGGATAAAATTTTGGTTTACTTTTTTGTCATGAATCCTTAAGAACTCCAAACCCATTGGGTGATTACGCTTACTCTAAGTGTGCTTGACATGTTCCAGGTATACTTATGGAAAACCAGTGAAAGGAACTGTAACAGTCATTTGTTCTGCTGTCCTCTATTGGAGAAACCAGAGAAATATCACACAAACAATAGAGGTGAGTTTTTGGTTGACGGGTTCCTAGTGTGATAGATTTATAGATTTTAAATCTATTGGGGCAGAAGGGACTGTTGTGATGATTTACCTGACCTTTTGTATAATGCAAACCAGAATATTTCACCTAGTAATTTATGCATCAACTCTGAGCCTGATCTTGATCATACCTTCCAGAAAGAAATTCAGGCTTGATTTTTTAAGGCTTCAAGACATGGTGGATCAACTATGGCCTTTTGTGGAATCAGATCTTTCAATTGTAAACTTTTTATGCAAGGCATCAGACTATTGTATTTCTAAGTGAAATATCATGAACGAACGTTATCACAGTGAATATATAATGGTTAATCATAATAACACCATCATAAAACATTGCTAAGATTTTATTGTAACACTGTTATTGAAAAGAATGCTTACGAAAAACAAGAACCTCTAGTGTTGATATTCCATAATTATAATTTTGTACTGAACTTTACACTTTAACCAGAAATAATTGATAATGAATAAAAAACTGTTCTGATTTTAGGTGCTTTGAAAGGGGGGGGGGAAATGAAGAAACAAATTAAGACCTTATTTTCCTTGTTGCAGATAAATGGATCTGTGAACTTTACTTTTAGCTACCTGGAGATGCAAAATTTAACTACTACTCAAAATCAGTGGTATGGAAGTGACTTCATGTACGGAGGGCCAATAGAGATTACTGCTATAGTTACTGAATCATTGACAGGTATGTTATTTAATATAAGGGCTAGGTATAGACATTTACATTTTTACCAGTATAAGTGATTGGAAACTGGTCTATACCTGTAACAGAACAGAATTTCAGCATACGCAGACTGGTTTAAAAACGGCAGAACCTGGCCTAAGATTCACCTCCCCTCTTCCCCCCCACGACTAAAGGCCAAACGTATGGGCGTACATACACATTGTCCTATGGCGATGTAGGGATGTGGTGTGTTGCTGTACGGCATGCTATGGTGACATAGCGATCACGCGGGTCCACACATGATTGCCTGTTACGTCGCCATAGTGGCATGCTCCCTGGTTATAGTGAGCCACTATGATGATGTAGCGGCAAAATTTAAACCATGTGCCATGAGCACAGTGCAGTAAACACCCATACTGCGTTGTGTTTTAGTACTTCTAAAAGATGACGTGTAGATGTGCCCTGTGTTCTGCTCTGTTTGCTACTGATCTAAACTACGTTAATTACATAAAACCACGTAACTTAAATCAATTTCACCTCAGGCTTTTTGAATGTCTGTACCTAGCCATGATGCCTCTCTGTAGAATCCAAATATTGAGCTATAATGTAAGAGTTTATTACGGAGCTTAAAAAGCACTGAAGCAGGATCATATGTTGAAGGCGAAGTATTTTTATTGGTGTTATCCTCTTACATAACTATATCCTTTGAATCATTGGAGGAATTAAGGAGCATGCATCTGACGTCCTGTTTGGGTACATGGCAAAGATGTGGAACGGATCCATGGAAGCACTGTTCAGTATTGTGCATCTGCTGCCAAGGAAAAGAATGCTTATATACCTATATACTAACACTCGGTGAACAGGATGGTGGCAACAAAATGAATTGGGCTGCTGGAATGACCATAAAAATATGATTACCTAGAGCATGAAGAGGATCAGAGAGAACTTGTTTAAAATAGTTTTTTTCTAATAAATAATAATAGTTTCTTCTACGCATGGTTTTCCAACAGGAATCTCCCAAAATTCAAGCACCACTGTATTTCCAAAGCAGAGTGACTACATCATTGAATTTTCCGACTATCCTAAAGTTCTAAAACCTTCTCTGAACTTTATAGCTACTGTAAGTTCTCCGGTTTAATTGTGGTTTATTCATGTGAAAACAAAGATGTCAGAGTTGTTTCTGTGCTTCTCCTTAAAAGGTTAGGTTAGGGGATTTAAAATGTTTGTAATCCATTTTTTTTAAATTTTCACTTCAGTTATTTTTTTTAAAGTAAATTATCTTTGGTTGATTCAAATCTGTGTGCTGTAATGGTTATAACTAAAAAGGGTCTCCAGTTTAGGTATCCAGGTTGTCCACGAGCCCTGATTGTTTTTTCTTTAATTTAATTATTGGTTCCTAGACAGACATTGGGGAACCCTACTTAATACCCACTTTCAATTTGACATTAAGCTGTTGATGACTACTCTTTGAGCATGATTATCCCCCCAGGATGCCTGTTATCATGTTTCACCATATTTCCTCATATTGCCTCTAAGAATGTTGTGTGAGATGGAATCAGCTGTATTGGATGCACTCTGCTGTATCAGATGCACTGCTTCGCCCCATCTACAAGGGCTATCACCTTGTTATAGATGGAAATCAGGTTGGTTAGACATGCTTTGTTCACAATGTACCAATTCTTTTCTACTGGTAAAGAGAAAATTGAGAAGATCGTCCTTCCATAGTTGGTTTCTGCACCATCTGGAACAAAAAGTTGTCCCTATGAAAATCCAACAGCTTGCAAGACAGTATGCATATTGCTATGTTATTTTTCAGCTGGTATGACTGTAATTAATATACTCTACAAGCACCAAGTCTTCTGATTTGTATGCTGGTTTTGTGGTGTACAATACACAACTGCCATGACTTCAGCCTTGCAGTTTTCCCTTTTTACCTTAACTCAGACACTCCTACTTCATTGTGTACCTAAGAATAAGTATATATATCTTTAATATACGGAGTAACACCTCCTCCTTTTTCCCCCTGCCTGACCACCCTAAACCTGCTATATATTGGTCTATGTCAATATTCTCATCAGTTGAATTATCCCACCAAGTTTCTGTTATCTTGACTGGTCCCAGTTTTTGCTTATTTCTTACATTATAATGAACACTGGTTATCTGTAGGGATCCTGGTTTTCTCTGATAAAAAAAATAAAATTCCAATTTTTGAATGAACCCCCCCTCCAAATCCACATTTTCCCATGATTAAAATAAAACACCACTATATATGGTGTTTTATTTTAATCATGGTAAAATGTGGATTTTGGTTATTTTTTAAATCCAAAACTAGGGTATTTTTTTATTAGAGAAAACCAGGATCCCTGGTTATCTGCATATGGTTAAGTGCATAAGTGCATACACTGCTGAAATAAATAGGAACTCTTGTCTATTATGTAATGTAATGGCATGCCCTTTATCTACATAAAAACTGTCAACTTCAGGGCAGGTTCCAGATCTGCTATCAATTTTAAGGCTGTTATTAGAAATATAAGGGACTCTGAGAAACACAGTAACAAGCTTTAATGAGGAGCAGAAAGCTCAGTACAGGCTGTTCCTATAGTTAATAGGTAAAGAATAGTTTGTGTTTTTTTAATGCCAGGGTCATTCACTTAAACAGAATGTACTGTATTAGCTTTGCTTATCTTACACATGATGTCAGCATTGAACTATCTCATATTTCTGCTGTGAAGTGGGAATGACATGAAAAAGTAAATGATTTAAGACATATGCTGAATCTTCACATGTTGCAAGGCATCATCACTGAAACACTGGTAGTGCCTTGAGTTGAAATGGGCCAGGTTTCCCAGCACACCTGTTCTGTGTCATCATTTAACAGTCAAAGCCAATATGTGAAGTGTCAGGTTTGGAATTTAGCTTGCCTACTTACAAAGTTGCAAAGGGTTTAGAAATATATTGACACATTAGAAGTCGGAGGAGATTTGTTTCAGAAATATAATAATATTCATAAAATGAATATGTTGTTGAACTTTGAGTCACAGAGTTTTATTTTGGGCTGCCTGATGGACCTTTTTTTCTGTTTTGTTTTTTTTAGCTGAAAGTAATGCATTCTGACAACAGTCCTTTAACAGCTGAAGAAAGACAAAATTATGTCACCATCACTGCAGAACAGTCAGACTCAGTTTCTCACCGATCTTTGTTTTCTCTAAGTGAAAATGAAGTTGCACAGCAGGGAAATGAATCAGTTCATTCACTAAGTTACAGTGTCCCAGATACGGGAATTGTGCAGATTGAAATTCCAATTCTGGCTACTGCAAGAAGTCTTCAAATGAAGGTACTGTTTGATTTTTGATATCTTAGCGCAGTAAGCCAACAAAATGAAACGAATGTGAATGATGTGGCTTGTCAAACATGCATTATCCTGCTTCTGTGATGATTGATATGGACAATGTTAAAAATATCTGAAAACTAGTCAGCCCTCAACTCCTCATTAATTTATTCCTTTAAGTGATGTATGAATCATGGGATGCTGCTCTGACGTGTTGTAATTACAGTGCATCAGAGCAGACTTCATTAATTGAGTCTGTTGGAGTATGCTAATTAGCGCGCTCCAGCAGCCTCCATGTCATGTGTATTCAGTGTCCCCACACTTCAAAATGGCGGTGGGGGCACTTTAACTAAAGCTCATTGAACGAGCTTTAGTTAAAGTGTCCCTGCCACCATTTTGAAGCACAGGACGCTGAATCCATAAGATGCTGTGGGCACTTTAATTAAAGCAACTCTTGGGAGCTACTCTAATTAAAGCACTCCCCTCCCTTCCATTGCATATGTAAAGATGCCCCTGAGTGCTGTGTGAACGGAATCCATGTATCCCTGAAAACAAGATGTCATTTATTAAGGGCCTTTCCTTTGAGTCCTTTCAGTTCTGGAGAAAATGGTGCTATGTGCAGGTCTAGGAGACCCCTTGCGAAGTGCCTGGTTAGGGCTTGTGACTGAAGAAAATGACAGCATTTCTCTGCCTCAGAGACCAAAGCAGTGCAAATCCAATCTCATGCTGTCACTTTTCCACCACATTAAGAAGGGCCCAGGAAAATAGGAATCTCCCAGTACAGTTTTTCAAAAAAGACACTTCCCATTCTTAATAAACTTCTTTGAGATGATTCTAGCTCTGTGTAGCTGCTGCAGAAGGAGAAACAGGTACCTCTTAATTTTTTCTTGAACCTGCCAAACTAGTTCCTGTGCGGGCCGCCTCCCGATCTCGTCCATGTCGCCATGTGCGAGCCGGGAGCGATATGCAGACCCGTTTTTGCGCACGCGGGCTGTGGCCAGCAGCCCGGGCACGCAGGGTCGAAGAAGACCGGTGGCGAGCTAGAATTAGTTACGGACGCGTAATGGTTGATTAAAAGATTGTTTACTTACACCAAAGATGGTCGTGGTGTAGGCTGGACAGTTTTCCAGACTCAGCTCCACTTAAGTCCTCGCTAGAGGACTCCGACAATTGACCCCGGAGTTGTTGAAGCTCCGCGGGTTCGACTCGGTAATTGGCCCCGGAGTGGTTGAAGCTCCGCGGGTTCGGTAGTTTCAAAGGAAAGGGATACGTCTTAGGATTGCGCTCGGCGACGGGGAGAGGCTAGAGGCCGTTTGGTCCCCAGAGTTTCCTCTCAAACTCCAGTTGCTTTCTCTCTCTGTCTCTCCAACTTGGGCGGAAACCTCCCAAGCTCTTTATACGGCTAGCAAGCCAATCGCTAGCCGCCACGTGTGCATAATTTAGGATTGGCCAATAATGTGGCGCGAATCTAAATACAAATGGCGGGAACTCCTTTGCACTGTGCATCACCATGATGCAAAAGAAATGCACCATGCAAAGAAGGCTACAAACTGGCAGGAAATACTGTTTTGCACGCGGGTTCTCCTATTGCAAAAGAAAACTCCACCGTGTAAAGGAGCTGCAATTTGGCGGGGACATAATTTAGCAGTGCCGAAGCACACAAAAACAAAAAACCACAACTTTGGGTTGTGACAGTTCCAAATGCACTTTTCTACAACAGTCTTCACCGTGTATCTATTCCTACCTTATATTACATGCACTTATTTTTGCTTTGATAATCTGGTCATCATTACTATGATGAAAATTATTTGTGTAGAATTTATTCTTTGTACATTTTTATGTCTCACAGTTGTAATACTGGCATATAAATGAGCTTTAACTAGATTTTATAATTCTACCTATAGACTTTTTGATCTTGTCTTGCAGGCTAGTTTTCTTGATAGTGAAACTAGTATAGCTGTTCATGATGTATTTAATGCCCCCAGCAAGACTTACCTCCAGATAAAAAGCCCAAGACAGGATGTAAAGGTAATATTTATTCAAATGAGATTGAACTTGACAATAAAACATTTCTGTAAATTATTCATCATGGGCATTCTTATCCATATCATTATGCTCTTTCTCTAGGCTGGAACACCTTTTGAGCTGAGTATTGCAAGCAACAGGCCAATAAAGGAGTTCAATTATATGGTAAGTTACTATTTTTTCACATGTGATCAATTAACTCAGATGAGTAAAGCGATGTTGTTGAGTATTTCAGAGATGTGTAATTCTTGAAATAAGTAAAAAGAAAAGAATCCTTACAGCACATTTGTTCAGAGAAACTACCACTGACTGTCCCAGCAAGAATGCCTCTCAGAGCTCTGCTGGAACGTGCACTGAAGACAGTTTTGACATCATTTTAAAGGAAGCAGTATATCAGGCTAACTGATTTGTCAATGAAGTGGAACCATGGGAACAGAATTAGCTCTCACCAATGAGCCTCAGGCAAAGCAGCAAGAGTGGTTGGATCCCCTCCCAGTATCTCAACACAAGTTAGGCTGGAACACTGTTAACAAGATGCTTGCCACAGTGATGGGGTGTTTAACCTCCTGCCTGTGCTGCAACCCTTATATATCAAAAGACCTGAAAGTGAATTAAAAAAAGGTTTAAAGTGTATGGTAGTTCTTTGATTTTTTTTTACTTGAAGAATAACAGAAATGTCAGATGTAGTCTTTATTATGAAATGATGGATTTGGTGGGCTGAAGTATATGTGGTGAGATTTTTTTTTAGCTTTTAAATGAAAATGATTTTGAATTATTAATAAAAACAGATTTGTTTCTCTAACTTTTAAAAGGCAGCTTCCTTGAGTTAAATTAGTGTTAAAATTGCTGATCAAAAAATAGGTGAAAGAATTCAACAGTTGTTTCAAAATTTGAAAAAAAAATGTAAAAGCTGTAACAGATAAAGCCTCTCCAAATTTTAAACTGTCTGAAAAAAATTATTTCCCTTTTCAATTACATTTCAATTTCTTTTTCTCTGCCTGTAAATACATGTGAAGCATAAGTACCAGAGGGAACAGTAGAGTTTTTTGAGCTGAAGAACAATGTGGTACAAGAACAAATAGATACAACCTGTCTGTGAATAATTTTAGAGTGAACAGCAGAAGGTTTCTTATGATGGATGAGAGGAATGAGGTTCTGGAGCAGCTTTCTGGCTGAATCATTGAGGCCAAGCACCAAAGTAGATTTTAAATAGAACTTGATTAATGTATTAATGGACTGTTCAATGTACCTGCTTGGGAGAGAAGGGGAATATATTTCAGAATCTAGGAAGTGTGTTCCATATTATCATGTTTTTGTGTCCCCATGATATTATTATTATCATATTATTCTTGTGCCATTTCTATACTTGTTCACAACATTTCCAGGAATAAAAGGGTAGACAAGTTATGAATGTAAATATATTCATAATTCTTCCATACCGCACCTCACACGACATAAATCACCTCTTCAGGCTTTTTCTACAAGGGAACAGCTTCATATATTTTCTATTGAAGGTCATTGTTCACTGATTCTCTGGTTACTTGCATTTCTTTGTGATTGTAACACAGTAGCTGGAAATGACTTGGATGTTTTATTTTACACTTTAGGTGGTATCTAAGGAACAAATTGTGGCTTTTGGCAAAAAAGTTACAACAACCTTCACTTTAACAGCAGAAAATTCTTGGGCTCCTTTGGCATGTATAGTTATTTTCTATACTAGTGAGACTGGAGAAGTGGTAAATGATGTTCTGGCTATTCCTGTTCAACCTGTTTTTGAAAACAAGGTAGGATATTAAGCTTGAATTTGGCATAACTTTTTTCTAGGGCTGCACTGATAGAGATTTGGGGGGCTGATACCGATAGTCAACTTTTAAGGAGGCATGTTGGCCAACACGGATACGATTTCCAATACAGCTGTGTGTGGCTGGTAAGCCTTGGATGGGGAGGGAAGGGGTGTGTGAAGGGAAGATCAAGGCCCCTGTGGTGGTGGGGGAGTGGGGCCCCTCGCTGCGTGCACCCCAGGACAGCATGGGGGGGGTGTCCCCGGATCTGGGCAGTTGGGCTGCAGTGGTGGGCTGGGGCCAGAGTTGCACCGGGTTCTTCCTGGCATGTCAGGGAGAGGGTGGGGGTTGAGGCGGAGCTGTGCTGGGAGGGTAGTTATGGGGGAGGGGTCTGCAACCACCCCAATTTTGCTGTGGCCCCCCCCCTCCTAGTGCCTCCACCTCTGCCTACCCCAAGTGCAACCTGGCCCAGCCCCCATGTACCAGGAGTGCAGCTGTGAGCGTGGCCCCAGTGTGCTGGGAAGAGCCTGGCACAGTCCTGGCCCCAGTCCTTTGCCGCAGCTCTCCCCATCCCACACAGATCTGGGGGCACAGACTCCCCACCCCCATGTCCTCCCAGGGTGTGCACAGTGGCAGGAGCCACCCCCCACCCCGGGCCCCTTGAACAAGCCATGGCTCCGTCCTGTGCATGCCCTACCCTGGCTGGGCAGCACCTGCCCCAGCCCCTGCGCCACTCCCTGCCTCACCGCGGGGGGCATTGATCTGCTCCCCCTACGGCTCTTCCCTCCCCTTCACCCACAACAGACTTACTAGCTGCATGCAGCTCTTCACACTGCCGGGCTGTGCTCCTCAGAAGCTATGTGCTGCACTGTACGCATGCATGGGCATTTATCGACCACATCAGGCCAATTTCCGATACAGTCAATTTTCTTTGTGTCGGTGCTGATCTGATATCGGACTGATATATTGGTGCTCCTCCACTTTTTCTTTGTTTCTTACTCAGGGCCCCTCTACATGTGTAGGTAAAGGTGCAGTTGGATCTAATGCATGATCCACACAATTGCACATCCTGCCGTACCACTTGTGCATAGCAAGAGGTGCCGTAGTGGGATCGTGTATTAGTTCCCTTTGTGCCTTATTGCTGGTGCAGGGGGTGCCTGGGATCATGATCTTGGGCTCCCTGTGCTTCAGCTTCCACGGCTGTAAGCCCCACAGTTGATGGGGCTCACACTGGGGGCAGTATTCCTGGTGCTGTCTGCACTGCAAGCCCTTGTCAGCTGCAGGGCTTACAGTGGGGGCTGTGGGAAAAATGCTGTCACCACTGTGAGCCTTGTGAAGTGCGAGGCTCGCAGCAGGGGCAGTAGGGAAAACACTGCTCCTGTTGTGAGCCTTGTAAGTTGCAGGGCTTGCGGCAGGGAGAACAGTCTTGTTTACAATAAACTAACTTGAACTAATCACATTTATTTTAGCTACCAGTGTCATGTTTGCTACTGGTTCATACTTTTCACACAGTTCAGTGCAGTGAAGATCTGCCTGATTTTTTTTCTTTAAATTCAATTTTACAACAAGAATTTATAATAAAATATGGTTGTCTGATGAAGAAAATAGAAAATTATTAATCTAAAACAGGAGGTCTGAACTGGCATCTACCACAGCCAGGATGGGATGCATTGGAAATGCCTAGATGAGGCATTGGGACTCTTCTCTTCATGTAGGACAGGTGCGGGCAATTATTTTGGGTGGAAGGCCGCTTACTGAGTTTTGGCAAGCCATTGAGGGCCTCATGACAGGCAGCCAGGGGCAGATAAATATTAATTTTCTAAATTCTTTAGGAGTCCCGCAGGCCAGATGGAATGGCTTGGTGGGCCGCATCTGGCCCACGGGCTGCATTTTGCCCTCCCCTAATGTAGGAAGACAGCCTGAATGTATATTGACTTGTGCTTTCCACTTCCCCAGGCCCTTTCCCACCTGTATACACATGGTAAAACTTCTTCATTACTAGGGAAGTTCCGGGATAGCTGTGGAAGGGCCAGTTAGGACCCTATTCTGCAGGCTGGAAGTGTAACCAACGGGCCAGTATGTGTTACACACTCCTTTCTCTACAGAGGAGGGGGGATGAGATCATGAAAGGTTTTTACTGTTCCCATTTTGAGAAGCTGATCGTTTAGATCCAAATGGAGCGCCTCATCTTTCTAGTTCTGAGTCCTAGAATTCCAGTATATCCCCAGTGCCATTCTTAGTATTGGCCAAAGTAGCAGTCATCCTAGGGTGCCTCTGAGAGATGATGGTCTTTACCTCCTTTAGACCCAAGACACTCCTGCAAACCCAGATTCTCAACTACTAATTAAGCTAAGGAGCTACTGAGAGAGAGTCATTAGCTGACCCCAGATAATACTGTGTAATTTAAACCAATCTCTTCCTTCTTTTTTTCAGATCACAATATCTTGGAGTAAAGATAAGGTCAGTCCATCTGAGAAAGTCTCCCTGAGAATCAGTGCAACTGAATCCAGATCTGTAGTTGGACTTTCAGTTGTTGACAAAAGTGCAAAGTTGTTAGGAGAAAAGACTGACATTACAGAAGATGCTGTAAGTAAATGAGGAAGAAAAAGCTTTGTGTATACCGTGTTTCTATAAGACAAGATTATGGAAATGGAACAGGTTTTTATGTAATATAAACAGTAGTGTAACTAAGCGGGGATAACTGGAGTGTCAGCTATGGGCACTGACTTAAGGGGAGGAGGCAAAAAAATAGCAGCCACCACTACTCTTCCGGTCACCACTAATAGCGTAGTAGTGACCACTGCTCTGTATGCCACTGTCACTAAGCACAAAACTGCCCAGTTATGCTTCTGAGTATAAGTAGCATGTTTAACATACTAATAAATGGAACATTCTTAACATATGTGATCATCTCTTACTCATGAGTAATCTGTCAATGTCTTTGCTTCTGTGTACAGTATTTGTAAGATGAGACCCCTTATTTGTAATTAAGCTTATTCTGTACTATGGGGTTTTCATTTCTTAGCTGTGCTAGAGGATTAATATTCTGCTCAGCTTTTCATCTTTTTCCAGGGCATTTGAACTTCATCCAAGAAATGCTCAGTTTTCACTCAGCTCCCTTTTTTCTTTTAGAAAAAGAAGGAAGATGGAAAAGCTCTTCCTGAACTTTGGGTTCTTTCAAATGAATAATTAAATAATACATTAAATAATAACATTAAAGTTTGTTATTTTTTGAAGATGGGAATAAATTGTAGTTCTTCACATATCCCTTTTACTTTCAGCATCTCCAGGTGTATAAGTAGAAGAAACAGTTGATGATGGGCAAAATTTTCCAAAATGTCTAAATAGCTTGGTGGCCTAATTACCTTTAAAGTCAGACTCTCATAAAAATTCTACCCTATTTCATTTGTTTTTAACACATTTTTGCCTTGCTACATTCATACATGGTTTCTGATTTTCCTTTTCTCTTTATCTGGAGAACAGAGGTTTTGCCTAAGGTATAACTCTACAAGTTATTTAATCTAAAGAATTGGAAACAGTTTGGATTATTCATAGTTTGGATTATTTCATTTTTGTTTTCTTAGGTGCTCCATGAATTATATTTGTACAACACAAAGCAATACTTTGCCTCAGTTAGAAGTCCCTTCAGTGTCTTTCAGGTAAAACTGTTAAATTTAGAGACTGAGGGTTTTTCTTATTTATTTGTAGATTGTCTGCTGAAAGAAAATAAAATCAACACCTCCAATAAATTTTGAGACAGTGTGTTGTTCTGTAGTTAATATTGTCTTTATCAAGAGAGCATCAGCTTGGGGGGAATTAAGAAATATTTTATAAAACTCTAAAAATTAAAGTAGTCATAGAATTTTAGTGGGCAATACTGAATATGTTAATCATGTACAAATCTTGGAACAAAAGCATTTGAAACACATGGCAATCTGCTATGGATATTGAAGATTGTACCTGATGTTTTTTTCCCCATAAAGATAAAAAATTGTGCCCAAACCAGTATCTAACCGTGCTGAAAAGATTCTTATTTAGAAAACATGTTGTGTTACGTACAGTTCTGGCTAAGCATCTGTTGGAAATGTATTAAAATGGACTTTCATTTTCTTAATATAAGAAAGAGAAAATAGACAAGCACTGCATGTGCCCTGGACTGAAATACGTTTTACATATTTTATTTAGAAATGCAACCTCTGGGTATTAACTGATGCAAACCTCGCTGAAGATGAGGATCCTTTTCTCTGTAAGTTGTATACACAGACATAACCAAACCACTGCAGTCCTTAACATTTGGAGGTTTAAAGATAAGCAAAGGAGGGCAAGTTCTGGTTAGTTACACCAGGGCAAACACAAAATAACTCCTTAAAAATCTATAGGGTTATATTTAACCCTGTGAATTTAAGGTGAGTTCAGCCTACAGAATTTATTTTTATCTTTATAGTACGTAGCTGAATAACTGCAAGTGTGTCATTATTGGCGGAGGTGCCAAAAGACTGATTTGAGCTTGAAGACAAATTTCTAAAATAGATTTTCCAAATTTATCCCTTCTCTTATAGTTAGAGCAGGTCTTCACTTTGAATTACTGTGATTTAGTTACACATAGGATGCACTGAAGGCAGGTCTGTCTTTGCGAGCTCAGTGCAGAAAGCATCCTGTCATCTATCTAATGCATAAGTGTGAGTGCATAAGCATAATTTATAGAGACAGAAGAAATCACTACAGTGTGGCTCTACATCAGGGCTGGGCAAAGTCTGGGCTGTGGGCTGGATCGGGCCCGTGGTGGACTCCATTTCCCAGCAGGCCCTGCCCATGTCACTGTAGCTAGTTTCCATGGAGATCCCAGGTGCAGCAGAGCCGTGACAGTGCAGAGCCAGGGTTTCCATGGAGACTGGCTCCAGCAGTGCTGGCAGGGCACACGGCTGGACAGGGAGTGGGACCAGGATCTTGTGGTGGTGACAACAGAGTCTGGAGCCAGGGCAGAACTACAATTTGCTGCCCGCACCCCCTGGGCAGGAGCATGCAGGCAGCAGATCGTGGCTCTGCTCTGGCTCCAGACCATGCTGTGACCACCACAAGATCCCAGCCCCTGCCCCGGAGTGGCTCCCCACCTTGCCACACGCCCTGCCAGTGCTGCTGGGCCTGGTCTCCATGGAAATCCTGGGCCCACCCTGTCATGGTGCTGCCCTGCTGTTGTCTCCATGGAAACCGGCTGTAGCAATGTGGGCAGGGCATGCTGGGAAATGGAGTCCAGTCACTGGCTGGATCCACCATTTTGCCCACCTCTGCTGTACATCCCTCTTGCAGCCTGCACAGAAGGATTCTTTTACTTTGACTGGCTAGTTATGCCAGACTTGAGGCTCAAGATTAGATCTTAAGAGTGTGGTCCTGCTCACACTAGTAGCCCTAATCTTTGTAAAAAGTCCTACAGACTTCATCCACATTGGCTACTCTCATGAATAAGGCTTTAAGATTAAACCCTACAGTGTTTTGAGACATATTGATAGAAAGATGTGATACAAGTTGCAAAGGGGCTTAAATCAATTAGCTTTAATTGGGACTAAGGCTTCCAACTGATTTGGGTGCTTTTGCAAATACGATTTGGACTATTTTGAATTTTTTTCTCTCTGCTGATATCGTGGCATCTCAATGTCCATTAAGGGCCTTAGGTTGGGAGGTATTTGCAACTTGCATCAGTTTTAAATGGCACTGACTTATCACCCTCTGGCCTCCATGTAATCATATGGTGAGTATGATCATTTCTAAAAAAATCATAGAGATCTTAAACTTGCTTTTGAAGTAAAAATAACAGTGCAGTAGTCTAGAATTAGTTTATGCTATTTTGTAATACTGTTACCAAATATATTGCAAAATTCTAAATAACTATAAACCCACCAAACAATGCTAATTTGGTTGTTTTTTGCTATGTAGAATTTTCTAGTGTTGGATACTCATTTTAATTTTGTAGATGATGACATACTAACCTTCATGGATTCTGACACAGAGACACATTTTCCAGTAAGACCTCCTCCTTCCAGTTATCCATATGTAAGGATGTATTTTCCAGAGACTTGGCTTTGGATTGACTCTAACACTAGGTAAAACCTTTGAAGAAAATTGAGTTAGACTTACACATATTAAAGTGGACTTTGGCATGTATTTGTACTTTTCTTCTGCTACATTTTAGACAGTGTTTTGCATGGAATGCCAAAGAGGAGTTATGGGTAAAAATGTGTTATTAGTTATATTGCAGTACCATCTAGAGGCCACAGCTAAGATTGTGAAGGCCCACCAAGACTTGCATTATCCAAATGCATTTTAAGAGAGTATCCCTGCATGAATGGGTTATAATCTATATAAATGTCCCTTTGCAGAAACAGATACAGAGACAGTAAGTGACTTTTCTCTTATACCGCAATAAATCTGTGGTAGGCCCAGAAAGTTAATCACGTTCTACTGTGCATTTGTCCAAAGTCTTAACCCCCAAACCATCATAAGTTGCCTAATCGGCTGCACAATCTGAGTTTCAATACACTGTATTTATTGTAATCATCCAGACAACAGTGTCTGGAGGTTTGGGAAAACAGCCGGCAAGGAAAGAGTATTTTTACAGGATATGGAAGAAGGCATTATTTTAAACTGAATTATATATAATTCGTTTTGATTATTACATTTGTGCCCTAACACATTTTTAAAAGAGACAAGAAATGAAAAACAGATAAAAAACCTTTCCTGTTATGCGTTTGAGCTATATTTCTGACATATTTTACATACTTTTATTAATTGAGAAATTAATTATTGCTTTTAAAATTCTGGTGGTCTTCCTGTTATTAGATCCAGCAAAGACATCACAATGGAAGTAACTGTACCTGATACCATCACTTCGTGGGTAGCCAGTGCTTTTGTAATGTCTGAAAACCTTGGTCTTGGAATACTGACTGCTCCAGTGGAGGTAATAAATTATAAGGCAGTTTTGTTTTTCACTGGTCTCACACCTTAGTTTGGAGTTGTCCATTAGCACTGATAGTTACAACCTGATTGCACATGACATTTTTTTCCTTAACGAGGTAATCAAGTTCTATATAAAGTCCCAACTGAAATCAATGGGAAAATCTCTTTAAAAGCAGTTGCTGACATCCCCCCTTGCCTTTATCCATAAATAACGATGATACTTCAGCCTCATTCTGGATAGTTGTCCGGGCATCTATCTTCCTGAGAATGTATGTAGATGGGGTTATTTGGGTAAATCTGATATCAAGTTGATCTAATAAAAGATATCAGATTTACCCAAATAACCTTGTCTGCCTATGTCTTTAGATCAGTGTGGCTACAACCTACACCCCTGATAATTTGTGGCATTAGTCAAATGACGGGACTGATTGTGCCCCCGTAGTCTGGGCATGGAGAATCCTTTCCATGTCAAGATCCTAACATAGCTATCTTGGACATTCCAAAAAGCTTTCTTGGGTGGAAAAATGCATGAAAAGAGAGGTTACAAGGAGGGGGCCTGGACAAGGAAGAAATTTATGGGCTGGTTAAATGACATTTTCTTCACATTGGCCTCAAGGAGGGATAAATCATGTAGCTGTTACCCTGCCCTGACCTTCATTTTTATGGTGGGGGATGTGTTTAAAAGATGGATCCTTGAAACACTTATTTAGATACCAAAAATAGACTTAGAGGAAGCTGCAGGCATTTAGGCCCAAATGATTTCATAGAATCATAAATACATAGGGCTGGAAGGGACCTTCAGAAGTCATTTAATTCAGTCCCTGCTTGAGGCAGGACCATCCCTACCCAAACCTTTCTATGCAATCCATAATCCAAGCTCTACATAAAACTACAATTAATCCTGACACAACACAGGCATAGCACCCTAACCTGCCACAGGTAAAGCATGGGAACCATGGCAGCCAATGTCCTGCTTTAATAAAAGGTTGTCAGTATAGTCTTAGGAGATCCTAGGTAGAGGGACACTCCCACTACAGAGGAAGGCAAAATCCCCACAATCCATATCAATCTGACCATGGGGTAAAATTCTTTCCTGACCCCAAATATGGTGATCAGTCTGACTGAGCAGATGGGAAAGACCCTTTAGCTAGGAACCTCTGGATTTGGTACTAGCAGGAGCATTGGCAAATTGGCTTAGGGGTTGCACCCAGAGAGTGGTGGTGGATGGGTCAGTAGTGACCTGGAAAAATGTGGGCAGTGGAGTCCCACAAGGCTTGGTCCTTGGACCGGTGCTGTTCAATGTCTTTATCAGTAACTTGGATGAGGGCATGGAAAGCACTCTGTCCAAATTCGTAGATAATACCAAATTATGGGGTAAAGTTAACACACTAGAGGGTAGGGAATGAATCAAGGCAGATCTGGACATGTTGGAAAAGTGGGCAGAACAAAATAGGATGCAGTTCAATAAGGACAAGTGCAAGGTGCTGCACTTAGGGAGAAGGAATTACCAGCATGCTTACAGGCTGGGGGAAGACCTTCTCTGCAGCACAGCAGTGGAAAGGGATCTCGGAGTCCTTGTTGACACCAAGATGGACATGAGTTGTCAATGTGATGAAGCGATCAATAAAGCTAACTGCACTTTATCATGCATTAGCAGGTGCATGACAAACAGGTCCAGGAAGGTGATATTTCCCCTTTTTGCGGTACTGGTCAGGCTGCAGTTGGAGTACTGCATCCAGTTTTGGGTGCCACACTTCAAGAGGGATGTGGCCAACCTTGAGAGTGTTCAGAGGAGGGCCACTTGTATGGTTAGAGGTCTGCAGGCAGAGCCCTACAAAGAGAGATTGAGGGCCTTGGATCTCTTCAGCCTTTGCAAGAGAATGCTGAGAGGCGATCTTGTGGCTGCCTACAAATTCACCAGTGGGGGTGGGGACAGCAAGGAATAGGAGATGCTCTGCTTACCAGGGCACCCCTTGGAGTAACTAGGAACAACGACCACAAACTGACAGAGAGCAGATTTAGGTTAGATATCAGGAAGAACTTCTTTACAGTAAGGGTTGCCAGAATCTGGAATGGGCTTCCAAGGGAGGCAGCGCTCTCCCCTACCTTGGGGGTCTTTAAGAGGAGGCTAGACATGCACCTGGCTGGCGTTGTCTGACCCCAGCGCTCTTTCCTGCCCAGGGCAAGGGGTCGAACTCGATGATCTGCTAAAGTCCCTTCTGACCCAAACATCTATGAATCCATGAATTGGCATACCCTAGTCAAAATCTCTAGCTTTGCCTGTAGCCCACACCCTGACGCATGTAGCAAAAAGACATAGCCCAGAAGCATGGGAAATACACACAGTAGAAAATAGGCACAGTTATTCTTAGATCACCCCTGACCAGTGGCTTCTTGAACACCTCCAATGATGGAGAGTCCATAACTTCCGTAGGCAGTCTTCAACTCCCTCACTGTTCTAACAGTGAAGAATTTTTTCTGGATATCCAATCTAAACTTACTTTGCTGCAACTTCAAGCCATTGGTCCGTGTCCTCCTTCCTCTCTTCAGCAAGACAGAAAAGGTGCTTTCCCTTTTCTTTATGGCAGCCCTTTAAGTATTTGAAGAAGTATATCATGTCCCCTATTTAAGTGCATTCTCCCCTTATCTTTGTTGGCTGCCTCTGGACCCTTTAACTTCTCCATGTCCTTTATAAAAGTGTGTAGCCCAGACCTGCACACAATACTCCAGGCAAGGCCTAACCAGTGCCAAGTAGAGAGGCATTATCACCTCTCACAACTTGGGCCTATTGCTTCTATTGATGCATCCCAAAACTGTATTGGCCTTTTGTGTGCCTGCATCACACTGCAGACCCATACTGAGTCTGTGATCTACCAAGACTCTTGAATCCTTTAGTGCTGCCATCCAGCCAAGTGTCACCCACTTTGTATTTGTGTTTTTGATTATTCTTCCTAAGGTTTAGCACCTTCCATTTGTCTTTGTTGAACTTAATCCTGTTAGCTCTAGCCTAACTTTCCAGTCTGTCAAGATCCTTCTGAATTACACTTGCATCACAATCTTTCCCAGTTTTCTGTCATCTGCAGACTTTCTCAAGAAGTTTTCTATGCCAGCATCCAAATCGTTAATAAACATATTGAACAGCAGCAGGTCCAGCATGAAGCCATGCTGGCTGCTTGTGACCAGCCTTTTCTTCTTACTTGCAAATGGTCTTCCTTAGGATATGCTCCAGTCATTTCTCAGGATTTGAGTTGGGGCTAACTGGTCTGTAGTTCCCTGGGTCCTCCTTGCCTTTTTTAAAAAGGGACACTGTGTTGGATCTGTTTTTGCCCTGCCTATGGCCCTGGACCTCCTGGCCTTGTTTCCACTCTGCTCTGGGCCCTGAGCCTACTGGCCCTGTCTCTGCCCCTGCTCAGGGCAGGGC